ATATTTTATCAGAGCTAATTGGAGAGTCCTTTCTGTTTCCATATCACAGTGTGGGAAGAAGTAGATACATTTGAATCTGCAATTTGTATGCATTGACTAAGGAGCTGAAAGCTTTTAAATGTGTTTATTTTTAAAAGAAAGGAAATGCATGTTCTGGCTCCTGGTTTCTCTAACACTGTCCGCATTTTGTGCTTTCTCTTAACTGAAAGATGCATCCTCCCCCAAGTAATTACAGAGGCCCTGCCTTATAAGAAAAAATAAAATAAAATTTTAGTGTTTTCATCAAAAAGTTACACAGATTTGTTTTGTTTTTTTAAAGACTTTTTATTCATTTGAGACACAGAGATACAGAGAGAGAGAGAGAGTATGAGCAGGGAGAGAGGCAGAGGGAGAGGGAGAAGCAGGCTCCCCACCGAGCCAGGAGCCTGATGTGGGGCTCGATCCCAGGACCCTGGAATCACGACCTGAACCGAAGGCAGACGCCCAACCATCTGAGCCACCCAGGCGCCCCCACAGATTTGTTTTTTAAGAGAAGGACCTCGGAATTGTAATTGTGGTTATTTAACACAGTTTTCTGTTATGTAACAAGCTGCTATTCACCAGTAATAGCCAATTAGAAAAGAAAATATCTTGTACTACTAATTGTAATTATCATTATAAAGCAATTAATAGCAGGAAGTGTGGTTGAGCAGTAACAACAGCAATCAAGCTGTCTTTGTTAAAGCACCATACACCTAATTTCCACAACTGGAGGGGGGGGAGGGGTGGGAAAAGAAGGTGAAAAAGTGTCTGGAAGCTTATTGGAATTTTTTGCAAGCCAGTTCATGAATGATATTTGAAAGCTTTTTAAATATGCACCCGCATGAGTAAAAGTAATGCTAATAACCTACTAGGACTTTGAGGGTTTTTTTCTAGCAGCAATGATCATAGATAGTACTGTTTCATAGAAAGCTCGCTGGAAAAGGAGGCAGAGACCTGAGTATTAATTTGACTTCTGCTTCTAACTGACTCTCTGATTTTAGAGAAGTTTTTTGCCCTCATGGTTAAGATTTCCTAGTTTGTAAATGAGATAGTTCATTTATATTCACATCCTTTCAACTTCATCTTTCAAATATCAGTAAAATAAAGAGAAGGCAGGTTTACAGCTAGGGAGCCAGTTATACATGTACTAGAGTCTGTGTAGATAGAAAACAAGTATATCTGTGTATTCCCTTAAGAATTCATTGCACATGTGAGTGTAATTGATCAGGTGTATCAAGGTAGAAAATTTGTGGAGAACCACTGCAATAGGTAACTTCTAAGGTCTCTTATTCCAGGAGCGCATGGCTAGATGAGTAGGACACATATCGGGCATGGATATTTGCCAAAGCAAGAGATAATGAAGACCCACACTAGAATTTAATAATATGCCTTTGTTAATGAAGTCAGGTGATTGCTCAGTCCTGTAAAGAAATTCCTGAGATTAGAAAAATAATGCTGGTCACAGCAGGTGGCATATGAAGATTCTCCCTTTGATAGGCTGAGCATCCGCTTGGGCCCTGTCATGAGGAAGGCCCAGAGACAGCAGGCAGAGAATGCCACAAAGATGATAAAATAGATGTCAATTAAGTATAAACAGGTCTAGAACCGTGCTCAATTCCAAATACAAGGAAAGACAGGGATTTTTAGCCAAGGAGCAGGTTAGGGGCAGGGGGGTGGAAAATTACTAAGAGGAAATATGGCTAAACAGACTTGACAAGATTCTTGCTAAAGGCAGGCCAGGGTGAGATATCACATAATGAGGTATCACCTGGAGGACGGTAGAGGATGAGGAACCACATCAGATATGGAGGATGGGAGATTCTGTCTGAACTGACTTAACAGGATTCTTGCAAAAACTGGGCTGGTGAGGCCCAATCAAGAAAAGGATTCAGAGGAGCCTTTAGGAAACCAAAGTTTGGTCAAGGAGAGAATCTTTGTCAGGAGGAACACAATCACAAATAAACTGGACTTTAGGGACAGGTCTCAAGCCATTAAAAAACCTGAGAGAAACAAGTTAAGAGGAACATAGATGCTGGGTGAGGCATCAAATCAGACAGCTTACGGAATCAGCGCAACGGGTTGAGGACTCAGTTACTGGAAAAGGTATACAAGTTGAGGCTTGGTTCCAAGCTATTAGTCACATGCCCAGTGATTAGCATCCTGGACCCAGATGGAGATGAGGCCAAGACTGGGTTGATGTGGACCCACTGGACTGATGTAGAGCCACTGGGTTGAGGTGGTCCCCTGCTGGAGCAGAGCCAAATTGCTGGTGGGTTTAGGGACCCCTACCATGCTGATTGGCAGTATTGGCAGAGGCCTAGCTCCAGGCAACTCATTACAGTTGCCCATATGGCCAATGAACTCCTAACCCTGAGCTCATTAATCCTGAATAATCAGCCAGTTGTAATATAATTCTCAAGTATAAGGTAATAACACCCTTTCTTTCTCATGACCCTTAGACTACATGGAATTTGATGCTTCAGAGAAAGATTCCTGTTCTTGATCTTTTTCCTTGTGAAACATCTGAACAGATTATGGTGTTAATACTTCCCCCCCGTTAATGTGATATTTTTATGTATCAGAAGTTATAGTTGTTTCTATATAGAGCACAATCCTGTTTTCCTTTTATTACGTGAAACTCTGAGTACATCCCACCATATGAATTTATACATTCTTAGAGCCTAAATGAATTAAACTTTTAGGTAATGGACCGAAAAAAAAAATTCATTTTTTGCTGTCATGCTTTTGAGAGATATTCATAGAAAATTGTGTTCTCATTGTTTTCATTTGTCTATGTGACCGAAGTAGGTAGGGCTAATGTAAATTTAGTATGCTGTTTATGTTTTTAGGGATGATATTTCAGGACTCCATAGAATCATAAGAGTGTTATATATATAATGCCTTTTTACACAAAGAATTTCATGATCAAATAATTTGCAGTTACTGACTTAAACTTATAGCTTCCTTACTTCAGGACTTTAAGTATGCTAATTTTTGTGACCAGGAGATAAATATTATACTGTAGTTTCCCAAATAGTAGACCACTATCTTTCTCAGCTAGCACACATTAACATTTCATGGGATACTAGTGTTCCATGGAATTTGATTTGGGAAATACTAGTCAGGGTCATTTTCCTCTTAAGCAGATCATATATTTTAGGAGCTTAGACATCCCAAAGAGTTCATCTGTAAACATGTTCAAGAAGAGATTGTTCATCCTGTGTCTATACTAATAACCATTGTCATTCATTTTTATGGCTTTCCTATTTTACTTCAAGTCCTTAGTGGGGGGAAAATAAGCATAGAGTAGTAGGCACAGGGTAGAAACAAAAAGCATAACCATTTGTTCTGCCTCAGGGAGATGTAACATCCTCTAAGGAGCATCACCCCCCCCCCATTATATCCAGAACGCCAGAGTTCTTTTGAAAATGTCCATGGTAGTAAGGAAATAAATACTTAAATAAACAAAACCCAACCCTCGAGCACAATATGAGAACTCTTCAAATCAATGTCTTTCGTTTCTTTATTTTAGTACCTCTTTCTTAGAACATTTGAATTATCTGAATATTGAACAATAAAAAAGGAAAGTGTTCCTAAGTTACCGATTTTTGACCTACTGTTCCAGGGCACTCAAGCCTGTGCTTCTTATTAAGTCAGGTAACCACAGCTATTTAATGCATTATTTAAGGTTATAAAAATTTAATTCACGTTCTTCTATCAACTTTCATTTACTTGAAGAATGTAGGTTGGTTGCAATTTTTTTTTAATTGCCTGTATATGGCATCATTGTCAGAAATGTCAGAGTTTCTGAATTACTGTTTATTAATGAAATGATGAATCCAGGCAGCTCTTTGATGTAAAATCCACAACTACTGTGATGTAGAGGAATTTTTTAGCGAAAGGTTTTTTAAAACAGCTTAGAAATGATTCATTGGACCATTGTTATTCACTTCTAGTTAGCAGTATTCAGAACAAACTGGCAAATCTCCATCTCTTCAGGATTCTCACTTAAAATGGGATTTCAGAGTAAACCAATTAAGGCAAGCAGTGTATACGTGAAGGAATCGGATTGTTCTCTTTATATTGTCACCTTCTTCTAAAGTTTCATGTTTGTTGATATCCCTTGTGATAATACATTAATCAGATTCTGAATTCATCTTATATATGGATAATTATCAGAAGTTATTGTCATATTATTAATATTAGCTGATCTTTGGACCCTGCTGTGAAAGTCACACATACTTGTAGAAACTCAAACACATTTTCAAATACTTACGGACTTTTTTTTTTTAAGTTATGTACTGCATAAGTTACACTTATCGGTGTAAACCTCCTCCCTTTCTCTTTCTCTCATACTTATATTTAAAATCTTAGCTTAAATGTCACTTTTTATATGAAGCCATTCTTGAACCAGAGACTGAATTAGCTACACACTTCTTTGAAGCCTTAATCATATAGTTATCTAGGAGAATCGCATTACCTGCTTGTAGAGAGAGAAATTTTAATTCAAATAGTTCAACTGATATAAACTGTATGAGTTTCCAAAGGTCACCTGGAACAAATTACCACAAACTGGTGGCCTAGAAAAACAAATTTATTCTGTCACAGTTCTGAAGGCCAGAAGGCTGGAATCAAGATGTCAGCAGGGCCACATTGCCTCTGAAGCCTCTAAAGGAGAATCTGGGAGCATCAGTCATCCTTGGCTTTGGCCATGTAACGCCTACTTCTGCTTCTGTCTTCATATAGCCTGCTTCCCTATGTCCTTGTGTCTCCTCCTTTTCTATCTCTTGTAAAGACTTCAGTCATTGCATTTAGAGCCCACCCTAATCCAGGATGATCTCATCTCAAGATATTTACCTTAATTATATCTGCAGAGACCCTTATTCCACATAAGGACACATCTGAGGTTCCAGGTGAATATCTCTCTTGAGTCACCATTCAATCCATTATACATAGTGAAGATACTCCCTTTTTTTCAGGTTGCCTTCTTCCTGACCTAGCCAAGGAGTGTATGCACAGGCGAGTGCTTGTTTTCATGTAAGTTGGGGAGAGGAAGGGTCCCCCCCTCTCTTTTTAAAGTACTCTGCAGCACATGGTACCTGCTGTGTGACTTTATGGACATTGGAACTTATACATTTACCTTATTCTCATGAATATTAAGCTCCTTATAGAAAGTCACCACCAAGGATTCGGATAGAGCTTATGAAATATCGGTAATCTTATGCTGGGGCTTTTCCATCACTGTTATTTTTTACTTTCCTCATTTTTTATTGTTTTAGGTACTCAGATTGTACATAGTACCTGCTAAGTCCTTTTGCTTATTGACTGATAGCTATTGTCCTTTGTACTTACAGCCCCTGAAATTTGGTCTCTTCCTGAGGTTGAGAGCATAGTATAGTGAAAAGAACACTAAACTTATAGACAAGAATCCAGTTCATGTTTTAGTTGTGTGACTTTAAATACATTATACTCTCTGAACTTCTATTTTCTCATAATTACAATAGAAATAATAATCTTTCTTATCTGGCAGTTTAATACCGAGATGCTTAGGAGATGATTTTATAAAATGTAAAGGGTTATATAAATAAAGCAGAGGTATATATTTTTTTTAAAGATTTTATTTATTTGACAGAGACAGAGACAGCCAGAGCAGGAACACAAGCAGGGGGAGTGGGAGAGGGAGAAGCAGGCTTCCCGCCAAGCAGGGAGCCCGATGCGGGGCTCGATCCCAGGACCCCGGGATCATGACCCGAGCCGAAGGCAGCCGCTTAACGACTGAGCCACCCAGGCACCCCAAAGCAGAGGTATATTAATATCATGCTGAAATGTGCATCTTTGGATTTACTGATTAGTGCCTTTCTACCTTGACCATTCTTTCTATCCTGAGTATGACTGGGCTCTTTCCCCTTTAAACTGTCAGTCACGTATCAGTTAATCTAAATATTTATAGAGTATTTGAGCTGGGAGTGACATTGGGATAAGTCACTTTGGAAAATATTTTAAAAGGACATGACATAGTTTCTGTCTTGCTTGTAGTCTAAATAGAGAAGAGACACACATACCAGTAACTAGGTTAAGCTCCCATCAGTGGATAGAGGAATGGATAGAGAAAAAATTTGCTTGAAAGGGATGATCATAATTGGCTTCATGGAAGAAGTGAGAGAGACCAGAGGACTAGGAAAGACTCTAGCAGGCAGGAAGTTGGATAAGAGTACCTGAGCCTCAGGGAGAAAAAAAAGAGCCAGGTGTCATCCAGGGACATTTCAGAAACTGCTTAAAGCTTCAGAGTAAAGAGAGAAGTAGTGGGAGATAAAATGGAATAAAAGACTACATCTGATAACCATCTTAGAAGAACCAAGAAGCTGTCTAGTGCTCAGGCCCTTATTTATGAGGTTGTGGATATTTCACGATTTGGATCTTTGTTCTCCTTCAGGCCAAATGGTCTCCAAAAGTAGTTAGTAGAATCTCCCTGATTAAAAACAAGAGAGCACACAGACAATTTGCCTTACAGATTAAAAAGGACACTTGATTTTCTTAGGCTCTGAGTTTTACCAAGCATTTATTGAGCACTAATTACATACTAAATCCTGAAGGCACAAAAAAGTAGTAAGACAAAATTCCTGCTCCGAAGGAAACACTTGTCTTGTAGAGGATAATAATGGAGAAGTGCAGTAAAAGATCACACTGAAGCAAAGAGGTAACTGTCACATGTGCTTCTTACCTACCAGAGAGGTTTGGGTAGGCTTCTCCATACATAAGCCAAGGTCTTTGCCAGCTGAGGTAGGCCTTTTTAATAGAGGAAGCTGCATGAGGAAAGGCTTGAAGATGCCCTACAAGTATGTATTATCATAGCCTAAAATGATGTGGTGGAGACAAGCCTGAGAGACAAGCCTGAAAAGGGGGCAAGGGTTGTATTAAAAAGGAGTCTGTGGACCTAGCAAAAGAACTTGGATTATCTCCTACATGATGGGGAGTGTTTTAGGTGAGTGAATAACATGAATCAGATTTGCTGGCTAAAAACCACCTCGTGGCAGTCCTAATGTGAAGATGCATGTACAGAGGCAGGACAAGTAGATCAGAAGCTCTTGTTAACGGAGCATGTTCCTTAAGCAGTTCAAACTGGATGTCAAGATCAGTAAGTCTTTCTAAAATGTGTAAACTATCATGTCACCTTCCAGCTCAAAAGCCAGCTATGATTTCTCCATGCCTATAGGAAAAAGCCCCAGTGAAAGTATATCCTCATTCAAGACTCCTCATTGCCTGTCACCACTAATTTAATCTGCTACTTTACCACAGGTAGCTGAGGGTTTTCTTTTTCTCCCTTAGAGGTAGCCCCCTCCTCAGTTGGGAGATCAGCCTTAGGAGAATAATCTAAGAAGCCAGATGGAGGAGTTAAGCCTATCCATTGAGTGCTCACTTGACTTTGTCAAGTGGAAATTTGCACTTTGAATTTTTATTTTCTAGATGAAAGTAATTTTTAAGTTATGTTTTTCTTAATTATTTCTAAGAAATCTTTTTTTTTCTAAGAAAAGTTGCTGTCTTTTCCATCATTAACAATGGCCGTATAACCCTGCACTTCTATATTTTTGTTTTGATCCATGACAACTTTTACCAGATACTCATAATTAAGCTCCAGATTTTGTACAAATCTGATAAGAATTTTCAAACAAGACCACACATCATTTGGGAGGGGTGAATGTGTATATTTAAAATTGTGTGTGTATATGTATGTGCAATAAAAATTTTGATTTGTTGTAAACGTTTTTAAATGTTGATGTGTTAATTTGGCCCGATTAACCAGAAAGTTGAAATACTGATTTGTTGCTATATTTTTTCTCTTAATGAAAACTTAGATATATATCTACTGCAGATCCTTCATCTGGTCTAACACAACTGATATAAGTCCAGGGTCATCCTGATCCAGTATTCAGAGGTATTGAATTTTCCAGTAGGATACTTCTTTTTTAGTGATAAACTGCATTTTTTTGTGAGTAGCTCAGTTAACTTTGAAGTCTCTGGTGAATGCCATCTGGTTCTAATGATGGATCACAGTTTTTCAGATTGTTTTTGGCTCCTTTCATCTCCCCATTCTCCTTTTTATTCTATTTTGATAATTTATTTTTATAACATTACTTCCTTACCTGTGAATGTTTTTACTGTTTTTTCTTTAAATTTTCTTTAACATGAATGACATATCAATTTCTGAAAGTAAGCAAACATACCATCATGGCACTATTATATATCATGTGTTGGGATCAGGACAACCATAGAACTTTCCTCATTCAAAGAATCTTTCATTTGATCAGTACACAGCTTATTTTATATATTCCTCCCTAATACCGAGTATATTTGCTTGGAAATAGGTACGTTGGGTGGGAAAATCTTGTCTATTATGGTAATTTCCACTTCATTAGGAAAGAAAATTGGTATCAGTTTAAAGTATTCTGCTGTCTCTTAGCTCCCTTGGTGAAAACAACAGCAGTATCCAGGGACTGCCACCCATCCCCCTCCAAAAAGGGTTCCCCCCCTTAATTACAGTGATTTCAAAGCCTTTGTCCCATAAAGGTCATATATTAAAAACTGAACAGATGATTTTTTTTTAATTTGAGAGAGAAAATGAGAGACAGCACATGAGAGGGGGGAGGGTCAGAGGGAGAAGCAGACTCCCCACTGAGCAGGGAGCCCGATGTGGGACTCGATCCCGGGACTCCAGGATCATGACCTGAGCCGAAGGCAGTTGCCCAACAAACTGAGCCACCCAGGTGCCCTGAACAGATGATTTTTAAAGTAAATAATGAGATCTGGGGAATTAAGATACCATTGGGAGTCAGTATAATCGGGATTAAAGTCTCAGGGGATAGACAGACAACATGAATTGCAAGAAAGAGGAACAAGGTATCAACTAGATAAAAACATTGTGAAATCAAATAAGGTGTGTCCATTTGGAGATTAGAACAAAGTAGTCTGTTTGAAATAGTTTGTGGATTAACACTTAATTCATGAAGGATAATGCTCAGAATTTATAAGTATGCCTCTTCCTATTTTGAGTTGATTTTCCTACTTGCAATTAATTTGAAAGCCAGATTGCAAATAAAGTACTGAGAATTGAGGCCACTTCTCTGAGATTACTGGTAGTGCAGGCATGTGTGTGTGCACAAACAATAGCACACAGCAGTGTTTGATGACAATTTAGGCATTATAGTTAAAGTTGTTCTCTGGGATGATATTCCCTCAAGATCCCCTGAGTCCTGACTCTGAATAGCAATTGTGTATCAAATGTTATATTCAGTGTCCATGTCAAGAATCTAGTGATGCAGTTCTTATCAACCTTACCACACTGGTTTTATCTGTAGTCACTGGGATACCTTGTAATCTTCAGAGTGATGGCTGGCCATTCTAAAAGCCTAGAGGTACTTGAATAATCCACTTCCATTATCTCTGCATATTTTGAGAAAGTTTATCATCTTTTGACCAGTCTAACCATAACTCATATTCTCTCTGCCTAAAATATCTTTTTCCTGCCCCTCTACCTTACAACCCCTACTCATTCCTTAACACTTAAGTTTAGGTATCATCTTCACCTTTTCTGTGAAATGTTCTTGCTGACTCTGCCAATACCCAAAAGGTAACCCAGCATTTCCTCTTCTTAACCTTTCATTTCCATTATCGGTTTCTTATGTCATCTCCCATTTGGGGATTTTGACTGTGATACACTTTGCTCATATATATGTTTTTATTTTTAAGTTTTTGTTTTAATTCCAGGTAATATACAGTATAATATTAGTTTCAGGTGTACAGTATAGTGATTCAATATTTCCATACATCACCTGGTGCTCATGATGACAAGTCCTCTCCTTAATCCCCTTCACCTATTTCACCCATCCCCCTACCCACCTCCCCTCTGGTAACCATCAGTTTGTTTTCTGTAAGAGTCTATTAGTTTCTCTCTCTCTTTCCCTTTGTTCATTTGTTTTGTTTCTTAAATTCTAGATATGAGTGGAATCACAGGGTATTTGTCTCTGACTGACTTTGCTTAC